AGTCTGGCATGTGAGATTTTATTTGCTCTGCCACTGTTTTCTCTTCTTCACTTGGTGGCGACAGCTCCAGGTCTGTTTGCATTTGTAGTTTTGTATTATGGTCATAGTTGTGTTCCAAGTAGCGCAAGTGTGGCTCTTCATCTCTTTCTGCTCAACGGGAACTGATTTAAAGCATGCATGCAAAGTTTGGTTTCGAGACTTTATGGCCGACCATTCCTCGAAGAGTGTAACTAGATTTTTCTTGCCTCCTGAAAAAGGATGATTAGTCTTGATTTCATTTTCCAGCAAGCATTGAAAATAATCCAGATCAGTGTCTGCTTTCTGGGACTGAAAGAAAAAATTTAGTAATTAGTATAACCTTGAGGAGTACATCTTTGGCTGCAGTTCTTCTTGCTTACACAGATACTGAAAAGGATAGAAGATTCATGTATGATCACTTAATTTCTTTTCTTTCTTTTCTTCTCTCTCTCTCTCTCTCTCTCTCTGGCTGCTGGCCAGTATGGGGATCCAAACACTTGACCTTGGTGTTTCACTTAATTCAAATCACTTTAATTTCTGAATAGCAGATGTTCTTATTACAAGGTCCATGAGCTTATTGGGGTGGAGGTGGGGCAGGATCTACAAATCCCTGCTAATAGTTGGCAATTTTACGTATCTGTGTACATTTTCTTGGTGTGATGGAGCTCTTCTAAGAATCCATGATAATTCTGGAAGCTGAAAGTCCATGGTGCAGGGGGTGCATCTGACAGGGTAGGTGAGCACTCTACAGGGTGTTGTGGTTACACAGGGTATCACATGGCAAGAATTCAAGCACAACTTTCTTACCTCCCACATATGAGTGAAAACATGAGGTACTTATCTTTCTTTGCTTGCCTTATTACACCTAACATAATGTCTTCCAGGCTCATCCATGTTGCTGCAAATGACAGGATTTCATTATTTTTTACAGCTGAGTAGTATTCAGTTGAATATACATACCACATTTTCTGTATCCATTCATCTTTTGATGGATATTTAGTTGGATTCCACATGTTGGCTATTATTGTGAATAGAGCTGCAATAATTACGGGAGTGCAGGTATCCATTTGGCTTACTAATTGCCTCTCATTTGGATATACACACAGTAGTGCAATTGCTAGATCACATAGTAGTTCTATTTTTCATTCTTTGAGGAGCCTCCGTACCGTTTTTCATAATGGATGTACTAATTTGCACTCCCACCAATAGTGTAGGAGGGTTCCCCTTTCTCCACATCCTCACCAGCATTTGTGACATTCTGTCTTTCTGACCATAGCCAGTCTAATTGGGGTGAGATAATATTTCATTATGGTTTTGATTTGCATTTCCCTGATGAATAATAATGTTGAGCATTTTTGTTCATGTATCTGTTGGCTATTTGCATGTCTTCTTTTGATAAGTGTCTATTTAGATCATTTGCCCAATTTTTAATCAGATCTTTTTTGTTGTTGTTATTTGAGTTCTTTGGATATTCTGGATATTAGTCCCTTGTCAACTGAGCAATTTGCCAATATTTTTTCCCACTCTGCAGGTCGCCTCTTGACTCAGTTGTGTCCTTTGCTGTGCAGAAGCATTGTAGTTTGGTGTCATCCTGCTTGTCTGTTTTTGCTTTTGTTGCCTGTGCTCTGATCAGGGCCTCTCTCCTCACAAGATATTGGCCCCTTGAAAACCAGGAAGGTGACATTGCATCCCTAGTTTCTAGAACAGTGCCCAGCACATAGTAGGTGCTCAATGAACACATGGCTATGTGAGCAGCCTGGGCGAGTCTAGAATTTCCTTCTCAACTCATAACTGAAAAACCTGAGTGTCATAGAGGGTAACATCAGAGGTGGAGAGTCATGAGAATCTTGTGTCTGCCCTATGTGACCCGGAACTGTTGCTTCTGGCTCTTGAGACACTGTTGTCCCTTATTTCTGCTGGTTGCTAAGCTGGGAGGAGGCAGGTTGGAATCAGATGGCCCAGCTCAGCCCCTCCCAGCCTTCCTCAGGGTATAAGGACAGACAATGTGCAAATCAGTACTAGGAGGAGGGAAGAGAAGTTTCTAAGGGGAGAAGACACTCCTGACTCTGTCTCTCTCAGTCCCCACCTGCAGCTCTGCCTCCTTCCCTGGGTCTCCCTCCCTCCTCTCAGCCCTTGTTGACCCATCTCGGAGCCCTCCCTGCCCTGCCCCCAGCACCCACCTTCCCTGCCCCTCTCCACTGTCCCTGGAGCTCCTGTGGCCCTGCCTTGGCCTCAGGTCCTCACCTCTGTCCCATCTGCCTGCAGGATGCTGCAGCTGAGCCTGTCCTGGCTGGGCCTGGGGCCGGTGGCAGCCTCCCCGTGGCTGCTTCTGCTGCTGGTTGGAGCCACCTGGCTCCTGGCTCGTGTCCTGTCCTGGACCTACGCCTTCTATGACAACTCTCGCCGCCTCCAATGTTTCCCTCAGCCCCCAAAACGGAACTGGTTTTGGGGTCACCTGGGCCTGGTGAGTGAGGCAGCAGGATGGGGTGTCAGGGTGGATGGGCTTCTCTAGGAGCCATGAGTGGAGCTCAGGGAGCTGGGGGTCAGGGGGTGGGCTGGTGTCCAGGACAGCAGAGAAGGGAGGGAGGCTGAGGGGACCCCTCTTTCCTCACCTCCCGTCAGATCCATTTCTCTCCTCTCTGTTCACCCCATGCCCTGAGGCCTTTTTCTTTCTTTCCTTGTTCCTGTCTTTCTCCACATTAGTACACCCCTGCCTCAGCTGGGGGGCTCCCAGGGTGGGCTTCACCGAGCAGGGACCCCCTGGCCTGCCCACAGTCTTCGCTCCTGGACTGGAGACCTCCTCAGGGGTCCACTCCTGCCCGGCCCATCTCTGTTGGCCTCAGGCCAGTGTCTACTCCTCTCTGGGCTGCCTGGATATGACCATGATCTTCAGGCCCTAAACCCCATGGACACCTCCCGGCCCCATCTCATCCACCTCCTGGCAGGTCTCTGACCTCGCTGACCACCCATTCTTCCCAAAACCTGTTCTTCTCTTTGTTCCAGGATGCTGCCCCACCCTGGTCTCCCCAGACCTCCCCATGGTCCCTCTGTCTCCCCTGTTGGCTCTGCCTTCCCCCACCCTTGTGGGATCCCCTGGGGTTCCAACCCTGCCCCCTCTCCTCGCTCTCCTGAGGCCACCTCCTTTCCCAGGGCTCCAGCTCCTACGTTGACCGTAAGTTCCCTCCAGAAGTGAGTTCCAAGTTCACATCTATCCTGAGCTGGAGGCCATGTGTGCAGCCCCCTCCTCCCTACTCATGGGGGTGTCTCACAAACACCCCAGTTCCAGCAAGTCAGAATCTGAATCATGGCTCCCTCCCCCACTGTCCCCACCCTCGGTCTAATCTGTCCTGTCAGGTGACCACACCCCACACTTTGGGGTCCCCTGATCCCTCTTTCTCTGCTCATATATCCTGTCCCCCAGCACATCCAGCAGTGCTGCCTGGACAATCTCTCCTCTGTCTGTCCCTTCGCAGTGTCCTCCTGCCACCCTGGCTCCATCCTCTGTCATCTTCCTCCTGGACGCCTCCCCAGCCTCCTCCCTGGTCTGGTCTCCTCCCTGCCACACTTAACCCCTGTTGTCCACTCTCTCCCCAGCCCTGGAGAGACTTTTTTGAGCCTACCTTGGCTCGAGAGGATGGATTTTCTCACCCTGGGATTAGTTCCAGGCCACAGTGGGAGGTCACTGAGGGGGGTTGACAGGCAGCAATATGACTTCAGGACCCCAGAACCAGGGCTAATTTTATCCATCCTCTCAAGACCTGACCAGTCTACACAGACTCATTTCTCTATCCAAGAATGAAAGGTTTGCAGAACTCCCCCTGGGGGAGCAGAAAAAATGTGGGCTCAGCTTAAGTCTGGTCTCAGCAAATCCTACAGGGCACTTTTGAACACTGAGGAGTTTGGTGAAGTTGGAGTGACCAGGATGACAGGCAGAGAAAAGGTGGAGAGGAGGTGAGGGAGGGGTGATTCTGAGGGCAATAGGGAGCCATGGAGGGTGTGTGAGCAGGGGAGGGCTGCAATCAGCTCCGTATATTTGAAAGTACATCTGGGGTGCATCTGGGCATGGAGTGGAGGAGACAAGAATGGTCCTAGGGACACGGGGAGGAGGCTATGGCTATATACCAAGCCACTGGGTTGACTTGAGGGACACTCAGCAGGAAGGAGGGCAGAACAGGACCTCCCGGGTGGGGCCTGAGGAGGAGGGAGGGGGAGAGCATGACGTCGGGTTTCTGGTCTGCAGAGGGGAGCAGGTTGCAGGCAAAGCCCTGAGCTCTGTTTGGTCCACACCGAGTCCGAAGGTCTGAGCATCCAGGGGGTTTTCCAGGAGGGGGCTGGATGCACGTGGGGCTCCTGAGAGAGTCTGGGCTAGAGATGGGGATGTGGAGGGTGTCAGGGCAGAGAAGGGGACCGAAGCTGGGGTCTGGGGGGAGTGAGAGAGCCCAAGGAGAGAGGAAGGTGCAGGGCTGAGCCCTGAACCTCAACACTTGGAGGTCAAGAGGAGGAGCCGCCAGAGAAGTGGGAGGGAAACCGAGAGATGGGACTGTCCTGGGAGCCAGGAGGAAGGTGTCTAGAGAAGAGCATTGTCAGGTCTGTCTTCCACCTTCTGTCTGTCTCTGTCTCTTTCTGTCTCTCTGCCTCTGCCTCTCTCACTTATGTCCCCTTCCTCTATTTCTGGCTCTCTGTGTCTCTATCTCCATCTCTT